TTAAATCTATTTAGCCACTCTAGGGGCAGCTGGATGGCTCAGTTGGTTAAGCGTTTGCCTTTGCTCCTGGTCATGATCCCGGGATCCTGGGATTGAGCCCCGTATTGGGCTCCCTGCTTAGCAGGGAGTCTATTTCTCCCTCTCCCTCTCCCCCTCCCCACCTTGTGCTCTCTCTCTTTCTCTCTCATGCTCTCTCTCAAATAAATAAATAAATAAATAAAATCTTTCAAAAAAAATCTATTTAGCCACTCTATATCTTTACATTGTGGAGTATAATCCATTTACACTTAAAATAATTACCAATAGGTAAGGATTTACTATTGCCATTTTGTTGTTTTCTGAATATTTTATAGCTATTTTGTTTTTCTTTTCCTCTCTGTTTATCTTCCTTTGTGTTCCACTGATTTTTTTTACTGACGTACTTGATTCCTTTCATGTATCTTCTTTGGAAATGTTCTTTATGGTAATGATGGGGATTACATAAAATATCTTACAGTTATAGGACTCTGTTCTGAACTAGTAACAACTTAATTTAGGTTGCACATAAAAACTCTACTCCTTTGCATCCTCCCTATTTTATGTCACCAGTGTCACAAATTAGGTATTTTTATATTTTGTATCCACTAATCTAATAATATAGTTGCAGTTATTTTTAATGCTTTTATCTTTTAAATGCTAGGCTAGAATTAAGGTGATTTATGGATCACCATTGCAGTGTTACAGGATTCTGTTTTTATCTGTATATTTACCTTTGCCAGAGAGCTTTACATTTTTACATGCTTTCATGTTGCTGTCTAGCATCCTTTCATTTGAATGCAAATGACTCCTTTTAGCATTTCTTGTAAGGCAAGTGTAGTAATGAACTCACTTAGCTTTGGTTTATCTGTAAAGTCTTTATCTCTCTTTCATTTTGGAGCACAGTTTGCTGGAAATGCCTGTATCAATTATTTCTCCTGGTTTAGTAATAATTTAAAAAGGCAAGACCATACAGGGTTCAGACGATGGACCAGAACGTTTGTTGCAAGTAAACGTACACTGATATTCAATGCAACGATGCTCATTCCATAGGGAATGCTAGATTTTTTTTTTTTTTTTAAGATTTTATTCATTTATTTGACAGAGAGGGAGAACAAGTAGGCAGAGAGACAGGCAGAGGGAGAGGGAGAAGCAGGCTTCCCGCTGAGCAGGGAGCCCGATGCGGGGCTCGATCCCAGGACCCTGAGATCATGACCCCAGCCGAAGGCAGACGCTTAACCAACTGAGCCACCCAGGCGCCCGAGCCTTTTATTTATTTATTTATTTATTTATTTATTTATTTATTTTTAAGATTTTTTTTTTATTTATTATTTGAGAGAGAGAATGAGATAGAGAGAGCATGAGGGGGGAGGGTCAGAGGGAGAAGCAGACTCCCCGCCAAGCAGGGAGCCCGATGCGGGGCTCGATCCCAGGATCCCGGGATCATGACCTGAGCCAAAGGCAGACGCTTAACGACTGAGCCACCCAGGCGCCTCAATAAATAAAATCTTTTTTTTTTTAAAGATTTTATTTATTTATTTGACAGAGAGAGACACAGCAAGAGAGGGAACACAAGCAGGGGGAGTGGGAGAGGGAGAAGCAGGCTTCCCGCGGAGCAGGGACCCCTCTGCGGGGCTCGATCCCAGGACCCCGGGATCATGACCTGAGCCGAAGGCAGCGGCTTAACCGACTGAGCCACCCAGGTGCTCCCGGAAATGCTAGATCTTTAAATGCATTTAATTGAAGTCTATACTCTATAGAGTAGAAAATACTAATAATAAATAAAATCTTTGTTTGTACTTTATAGACACAGGCTTAAAACCAGATAGAGGTTTTTCTATAATTCTCTGACAAGGCAATCTATTTTGGAGTTCGATTTTATTTACTCCTTATATAAATTTTTTTTTTCCTGATGCTTTGAGAAATGTTAACCACTTTATAACAATTCTGGTCGATAACATTTCACCTAAGAAAACAAAATATAATCAGAAGTATCAAAGTCAGTAGGGATAAGAAAATATTTTAAGAAAATCTGCTATCAAGATTTGTGTTGCACTGACTCTTTTATCGAAGCATATCTTTGTGAGCCATCTGTTTCTTTCTCCTTTTCTAAGCAGATCTTTTCGCAAGTGTTACTTATCCACCACGGTAAAAGAAAATCACACACTAACCCAAATCTCAACAGGGAAAGCGACTACAGAACTAATCTAATTAGTTCTTCATAATTGTTCATAAATTTATCAAATGTTAATCTGAGCAAAACTCATTTATGATAAAAAAAGGAAAAAAAGCTAGAAGAAACAATGAGATCCAACAAATGTGAGAAACCTTCAAGCTAAGAGCCATTGTGGCAACAAAGTCATCTTCTAAAGTGTCAGAAATTGTACATATTTTATTTCATGAATTGGTGTGGTTGGTTAACCCTGTAAGATGAGAGGAGAGGGCAAATTATAGCAGTGCCATACGGAATACCACAGAGGGGAAATACTAAAAGGAAACATAACGAATGAAAGTTGAAGAAAGAAACCAAGTCACCAACCATAGCAAAATATATTTACTTTGACCTGTCATTTATCCTGTTTGTGCGTCAGAGACGATATTTAGATGTAAGTCTTTAATTAATGATTTAGACAAGAAAAAGAGGAAGCTATGAAGTCAAATCCAGATGTGGAAAAGTTTTCTAGTGCAAGTATACTTCAAGGTCCCTATTATATGGATAAAGAGGTACCATTTTAAATTTCAGCCAGACTGCATTTTCGTCCATGAGTAAAATGAGAACAGCTATGGTAATAAGAATGAAACAGAATTTGATATTTTTTAAGTGAAGAAACCCGTGCATTAGAAGAATTAATAGACTTTCACTGGAGAGTACATGTCCAGCTTCTTAAAGATTTTTTTTTTTTATTTGAGAGAGAGAGAGAGTGTGTGAGAGAGATAGCGCAAGAGAGGGTAGGGTTAGAGGGAGAAGCAGACCCCCTGCCGAGCAGGGAGCCCCATGTGGGACTCGATCCCAGGACTCCGGGATCATGACCTGAGCCGAAGGCAGTCGCTTAACCAACTGAGCCACCCAGGCGCCCATGTCCAGCTTCTTATAGTAAGAAATGCATAGTCCATGGAACATATATAGATCAATTTGGTGGAGGTGACTCAAGGATACAGGATATAACTCATCTTCCTGGATAATCTATTTTACTTAGAGGTTTCTGAATAAAAATTAAAAATGTTTGCCCCCTTAAAGATTTTATCCAATGCTAGAGCAAATAAATATGTGTTTCATTTTTTCCCCATTTTAACTGTTCTGAAGATTTCTGTGTGGGTATGTGAGAAAACAGAGAACATGAGGGAAGGAGGGAGTAAGATAGAAAATTTTAATGTGCAGTGAGAGATTTAAAAATCTGATACCTCTATGTTCTCTAAGAACTTGCTGTTTTATTTATTTATTTATTTATTTATGATTGCTTTTTAAAAAGATTTATTTATTTTTTTGGTTGACAGAGAGCACGAGAGAGCACAAGCAGGGGGAGTGGCAGGCAGAGAAAGAGGGAGAAGCAGGCTCCCCATGGAGCAGGGAGCCCGACATGGGGCTCGATCCCAGGACCCCAGGTTCATGAGCTGAGCCAAAGGCAGACGCTTAACTGACTGAGCCACCCAGGCGCCCCAGAACTTGCTGTCTTACTACCACATTCTCATCAAAGAGGAAAAAGCTGAAGTATATGAAGCCAGCATCACTGGCCCACACGAAAAGTGCTGCCACAGGTTGAGATGAGCTCAAACAAGGATATTTCCTTTTGAAGTATAAAAGATTCATGGCCCGGTGTTTAAAAAAAATACTTTGACATGTTACAAACTAGTACTGAATTGTTTTTGTTGTATTCTATATCAAAACACTTCTCACAAAGTAGTTCACTTCTTCCAACAGTCATATTGCATCAACATTTTGTCTTTAAACAATTGTCTAAGCTTTCATCTCAAGTTAAGCTAATGTTCTTTACAGAAATATTGCTTGGGGTGGGCATAAAGAAATCTAGAAAAGTGGGACGATACTCCCTCCCTTTTCCTCAATTGCTCTACCATCTGAAAACAAACACACATGCACACATGTGTGCAAACACACACACACATTTTTGGCATGCATGCCTCTGAAATAAATCCTAACCCAAACAATTTTGCTTCCTTATGGAAATCACTGGCCTAAGAGAAACTCTGGTGAATAACTGAAAGAAATCAAACACCTGTATTTTACAGGAAAAACCATTAAAACTTTTTTGTTTTTGTTTCTTTTTACAAGTACAGAGAAAGAAATCTTGTGTATAAGAACAAAACAGTAGAAAGCATAATGAAACCAGCAAACACCCTGTGTTTTGATATGTCCCTCTAGGTCAATTTCTGAATTCCCTTATAATGTGAAGGTATAGGGTAAGTATGTATAGGAATGTATAGGGTAAAATCTGGTGGTGCCCTGGAGTAAAGATGAGGATGTGTTTTAATACACTCAGAAGACATTCTGAAACAACTGGTTGTTTTTTGTTCAAAGTATTTATGATTTTGCTTATGGATGCATTATAAACAAAATTAATTGCCTTAACTAGTCTCTCTCCAGCAAGGATCTGAATCTAAAGTCACGTTCTGACTAGCAGCTTTAAATCTCTATCCAACTATAAATATTCAGATTGGACATATGTTGATAACGCCTTAGTAACAATATTTGCTTTTGCATTTGAGGCTCTTATTTTGAATAGTCTAGGTAGAAGCAGTGGACAATCAAATGAAATTCTTTTAGAACACTGGAATATTGAGTTATTGAAGTTATTTTTATAAATTATTTAGTGCTCATTTTAGTGAGAAATTGCCTGGTCATCAGCAATTTAAAAAACGAATATCAAAGCTTCTGGTATGGTTAGAGGGCTGGGATCAACCCTTGGACTAACTTTCATACCAACCTTCACACAGATATATTTTATGTCTGAAGTAAAAAGAAAACCTACCTGCAGGCACTAGATAGTGTCTGAAAGTAGACAGACATTGGAGACAAATCAACGCTTGGTAGCATGGAATCACACGGAGTGGGCTTCCCATATATATGACTTTTCAACTGATGACAAGCACCGGTCTTCATCATGTAGGGTAGCTAAAACTTCAGTAAAAAATCCATAATCTTATTGGCTTGAAGAACCTGAGGACAGAATTTGGGTCAACCATAGTCACTGAATGATGTCAGGTGAGATTCCCAAAATGAGAGAGCCTAAGAGGAGGAGCCCCGAATTCCATGTATCAACACTAACCAGTTCTTTGATCTGAACGACACATAAGCAGGGACAGACTCCTAACAGCACAGCTAAGGCTACAAAAAATGAACTGACATTTGGGCTGCTGCCATTGCAAGAAAAATAGTTTTAGGTTTAAGCTGGCTATGTATGGTAGGCCAAATAATAAGCCTCCCAAAGATGCCCATGTCCTAATCCTTGGAACTGGTCAGTATGTTAAATTACATGCCAAAGGAAATTAAGGTAGATGGAGTAAGGTCGCTAGTCATCTGAACTGAAAGAGGAAGATTTTCTGGGTTATGTTTGTGGGCCCAGTGTAATCTCAAGGGTTCTAAAATGTGTAAGAGGGAAACAGCAGAATCAGTTTCAGGGTGATGGGATATGAGAAAGAGTAGACAAGCTACTGTTGGCTTTGAACATGGAAAGGAGCCACCAGCCAAGGAATTCGTAGTTTCAAGACACTAGAAAAAGAAAAAAAAAAAAAAAAAAAAAATTCTCCCTTAAATGCCTCTGGAAAGGAATGCATTCTTGCCAACATCTTCATGTTAGCCCAGTGAGAACAATTTCAGACTTCTGATGTCCAGAACTGTAAGATAAATTTGTGTTGCTCAATCCACTAGGCTTGTGGTAATTTGTTACAAAGGCCATAGAAAACTAATGCAGATTTTGGTACTGGAAGTGGGGTGGTGCTGTAACAAATACCTAAAAATGGGGAAGTGGCCTTGGAATTGAGCAATGGACTAAAGCTGGAACATTTTTTGAGGAGCATTATAGGAAAAGCCTGGATTGCCTTGAACAGATTGTTAGTAAAAACATGGATGTTAATACACTTGCTAGAGAGAACCCAGAAGGGAATAAGGAGCATGCTATTGGAAACTGTAAAAAGGGGACCTATAGCAGCAGAGAAGTGAGCAGAAATGTGTTCTGCAGTTATAAGGAAAGTAGAACTTGTAAGTAATGAACAGGAATATTTAGCTGAGGATATTTCCGAGCAAAGTGTTGAAGCTGTGGCTTGGTTTCTTCTTGCTTCTTAGATTAAAATGTGAAATTAAAGAGATGTAATTACAGAAAAACTATCAGGCAAAAAGGATCAAATTCGATAACTTGAATCTTTAGGAAGGAATAAAGCACAATATCAGAAATAGTAAATGTGTCAGTAAATATAAGAGGTTGTCTTTCCCCTCTTAGTTAAAATATAAATAATTGTTTAAAGGAAAATTATAACACCGGATGGTGGAGTTTCTAACATATATAAATGTAATACATATGAATAACATAAAGGATGGGGGGGTAAATAGATCTACATGGTTACATGGTTTTGATATTTTATGTGTAGTAGTACTATATTAACTGCAACTAAAATGTGAAAAAGATATGATTCTTTATTTAATTGATATAATTGATATAATTCCTTGTAATTCCTTAAGTCATTTAAAAGTATACTAAAACCCAATATATATAAGTGACCATCAACAAAGATTTAGGAAAACACAAATTTATGTAACTAGAAGAGGTGTGGAAAGGAAGCAGCCATCTAATTTTCACAGTGCAATGGAAAAGAACTATTTTTGTGTTTTCTAAAAATATTTATGAGCTCTGTGGCCTTAAACTTTGGCAAGAGAAATTTAAATCTCATATAAGATAAACTGTAAGGCATGTTGAATATTGCTGTTCTACACAAGGGATGAAAATGGCTTATCTAGATGTTTAGGCTAATGTCAATAATTATTGTTGGCATATTAATGGAAATGTAGCTCTTTGTAAAGGCAATCATTTTGATTTTTTTCTTCTAACTGAAGATTAAAGAAGCTTGTCATTTCCAGGAGGTAATATTCTTCATCCTAACTTTTGGGGCTTTACTTCAAAATTTAATTATTTCGACTTCATTCATGACAGATTTAGTATTCACAGTGATAGGAAGGGTGACACAATGTTCTTCTTAATAGGTGAACCTAATTTCTGGTAAAAACAGTAGAGCTACTATTTCAATTTTCTGCTTACAAGCAAAAGCAAAATTTCATACCTTCTTAGGTAAAATGGGCTCGCACTCTGGCATTCTTTTCCAGAGCTATTTATTCAATATGTCACTTAAAATTGTTTTGAGTCTAAAGGTTTCTGGGGCAAAGCATTAATTTAAATATTCCAATTATTATGCCATGTCCTTATGCAAGCAAAGAAATGCTGAACTGTGATTGAGATAAACTTAATATCCTGTTCTGACTCTAAACCTGGATCTTAACAAAACTGAAAAAAAAAGGATATCTCACTCTGTGTATTTATTACATCAGTAATGATAAGAGAGGAAAGTTAAATATAAAATTCAATGTATAGGGCAGCTTATCAAAACAACCAAAAATGACTGTGAATCTAAGAAATAATAAAAATCAATAGAGGAAAAATGGGGGAGGGGTGGTGAATGCCAAAGAAGTAGGTGTGTCTGGGTACAGATGTGGCCTGAGTCAGAGCTGCACAGAGAAAGTACAACAAAAGAATTCCTAACTCAACCTGATGCTCCCTAAAAATTACAGCCCAATGTACGTTATGCCTCAGTTAAATAATAACACAAACTGTAACCCAGCGTTCAATGGTACTCATGTATTTACATATTATAGAAATACCCTTATATTTATTGATTGGCATAGTAAGTTAAAAAATAGTTATTGAGGGCACTGAACTGGCTCAGTCAGTAGAGCATGCGACTCTTAATCTCAGGGTCATGAGTTTAAGCCTCACATTGGGCGTGGAGGCTACTTAAAAAAAAAAGTTATTGGTTGCACTCTAAACAAGAGAATTGATTTTACAATTACCTATATTCATAAAAATTTTCCATTTTTCACTTTTAAACTGCATGTTATCTAAAATGCTATTAATGAAAAATAATATATTCAGATTATTATGATAAACATTTCTTAGCGAATTTTATATCTATGCACTGCATTTTGAAATTTCTACATTATCTTCAATGTCATATGTAGACTTTGCATAAGTGGCTGACATGTGTAAGAAGCTCCCAGGTGTTGTCAATGGTGTTGGGCTCATAGACCACACTTTAGAGTGCTTCATAAATCTCACCCCCTTTCCAGCTCATCCCTTCCACAGAAGAGAGACTTATATTGCTGTCTGCCATATTAATAATTAATACTGTTGTTTTAGGCAGGAACTTACCCTTTAGGGGTAAATATAGGAGCAGTAGATGATATAATTCCCTAGGTGTTGAACATGAAAAAAAAAGGCTTGCTTCCCTTAATTAGTGGCCCTATTGATTCCTTAGCATTGTAGCTATGAAAACCAATCAATGTCATATGGCTGTAGGGATGATGCTTTTTGTGGTTCTACTCTAGAAGCAACATTCTTTTAGTACCTCATTCCTGTTGTCTATGGAATGACATACTGCACACTAAGATACCAGCTGGTCATGTTGGCCAATCTCCAGAAACCTGACTCAGTCCAATTTAGTATCTTTTTAGAATGACCATTTACGTGAGACTAATGTGCTACAGCAATGAATAGCAGTAATACATTCCTTTGACAAAACTTCTTAAACTCAAGGAAGGAAATGCACTGTAGAAGAGGGAAATTAATAAAAACCCAAGTGTTGCAACCATTTGTCTCAGATCTGTGACTTTGCAGCCTGGATTTGCAAAGGAAATAGAAATGGTTTGATCCATTACAAAGTAAGTGCTGACTTCTATGGTAAAGCATCTTTCTGTCATTCTTAGTAAAGGTATGCTTGGTTTTAGTAAAAAGGAGGACATGTACACAAAATATCCCATTGTTGGTAAAAAAAAGAGAATATCCATCTTTCTCAAATAAAATTAATTTTACAGGTCCTTGAAGGCACTGAAACCACATTCGCAAAAATGGTACTCAGGGTTCTAAAATAGGGACAATGACATAGAAGAAAGTTCATGAAGCACATGGAATTCCAAAATATCTTTAAAAAGTAAAATATGCAAAGGCAAAAAGGTGGTTGATATGAAGGGCATTTCATGTTGGTAGAAAGAGAAGCCCAAGCAGTAGCAAAGCACAAACGAAAGGTAATGTTATCTTCTCAACTTAACCAATGCAATACGTTGGCTAAGAGTGAAGTTTTTACGATTAAGCCCAATACAGACAGTTAAGAATGAGCAGAGGGTCGTAGGTGATCACAAGCCACAATGTGATAGGTCTGTCTGAGCCTGGGCATATGCCTGAGGTACACCAACTTTGACATTGTTCCATATGTTACTTTGCTCAGCGAAAGTTGTGAACTCACTTAGACTCTACATGTTGGGCATATTTATCAAGCCTTAAACTCCTTTATCCACGAACAACATTTTGAGATTTATTGAAAGTAATTTGACCAGGGCCTGAGTTTGGGTTGGGGGTAGAGAATAGGTTATGATTCTCTTTCTCCTTTTACTACTGCATTCCTTACCAAAGGAGAAACACAGTAACAGTACATTTTACCATTTTTCATTTTTCTATCTTCCTTTAAGGCATTAGAATACTGAAGAAATTTAGTTTAATAAAAATAATAGTGATATCACCATCATACCTTGTGGTAGGCAGAATAACCCCCAAAGATGTCCATGCTCTAGACCCCCAGATCCTGTGAATATTCTACTTTCCATGGCAAAAAGGACCTTTTGGGTGCCATTAAGAGTATAGACCTTCAGATGGGAAGATTATCCTGGATTATCTGCGTGGGCGCAATATAATCTTAGAGAACATTCTCTCGTGGGAGTGAGAGATAAGGCAGGAAAAGAAGGAGAAGAATGTTGAAGTGTGAGAGAACTCAGCCTGCCGTCGCTGGCTTTGAAGATGGAAGAAGAGGTGACAAGGAATGGGGGTGGCCTCTGGAAGCTGGAAAAGGCAGCGGAACATATTCTTCCCTACAGCCTGGAGATGGAACACAGCCCTGCTTTTATTTTAACCTACTGTAGCCTGAAGTAGACTTCTCACCTGCAGAATGAGAATAGATTTGTGTTGTTTAAGCTGCTAAATTGGTGATAATTTGTTACAGCAACACTTGAAAATGAATACATCAAGACTGATAAAAAAAGAGTGGACACAAAATTATTTGACCTTAGCCCTCCCCTTTACACTGATCTTTTATGATGGCCCTAGGAGATATGCATTAATACCCTCAGTTTAAAGATGAAGAAATCTTAATTTGTCTAGCCTTTATATTCACTCACTCCCGTATTCATCCACTTTATAAAAAATATTAAAAACCTGTAATAAGTAAAATTCTATCTTAAGTGCTGGGACAT